AAGGATCTCAGGCTAAAATAATAAAAGACCTGAAGGATCTGGAAAAACTAAAATGAGCTCAGGAGAGGACAGATGATAAATCATTGACATAACTTCACAAACAAGAAATTAACAAAATATAAAATAAACAAATACATTAAAACATGGCAACATACAAAGACTTAGAGTTTCAAATATACAACGATGAAGATGTGATTGATACAAATTTTTTCCCTGCAATAAAAGACTGTGAATATTACAATGAAGAACAGTTTAATGACATCAATATAACAAATGGAGGTCTCTCTATTATTCACTTTAACAGTAGAAGTTTAAATGCAAATATATCCAAAATACAAATATATCCAAAATAACAGATTATTTAAAACAGCTAAACAGAACCTTTACAATAATAGCACTGTCGGAGACGTGGCTCAACAATGAAAACACAACTAATGTTCACATGGAAGGTATGAATTATATCATGTGAACAGAAGCAACAAAAGAGGTGGTGGAGTGGCTCTATTTGTTAAAAATGAAATACAATGTAAATTAATTAATGAAATGTCAATCATTGTTGATAATATCATGGAAATAATAACAATAGAAATAATAAACAACAATGATAAAAACATATTAATAAGTTGTGTATATCGATCACCAGGATCAAATATAGAAATATTCACTGATAAAATCGTACAACTATTGGACAAGAGTTTTAATAAAAGCATTTTTTTTGTGTGGAGACTTTAATATTGACCTGGGAAATAAAACAGATTCAAATAACATCAGTACATTTACAAATTCATTGTATAGTTTAAATCTTTATCCGTTAATATCAAAACCAACAAGAATTACAACTCATAGTGCTACAATAATCGATAATATTTTCACAAATATAACATATGGGGATGTGATGGGAGGTATTTTAATGAATGATTTGAGTGATCACTTACCAGTTTTCATGATTTATAAAAATGATCAAAGCATTACAAAAGAAATCACGATTAAGAAAAAAACAATAAACACATCAAAAAAAGCAATGGATAAATTAAAAGATGATTTACATAAACAAAGCTGGAAAGACGTGTATGTTGATGATGTGAATAGATCATATGATGAGTTTATGAATATTTTGGGAGCTCTGTATGAAAAGAATTGTGTGCATAATAATTGTACAAAGAGAAATGTTGTTGACCAACCATGGATGACGAAAGGGATGAGAAATGCTTGTAAAAAAAAATTTATTATTTGTATACATGTTTCTTGAAATTGAGAACACAAGAGGCTGAAGAGAAATATAAGAAGTATAAAAATAAATTAGTAGTGATTATAAGGAAACACAAGAAGGAATATTATAGTGATTTATTAAATAAAAGTAATGGCGATATGAAAGCTACATGGCGAGTAATAAATAGTGTTCTGAAAAGTCATAAAGCAAAAACAGGTATTTCACAATATTTTCTGAAGGATGACGATGAAATCCATGATGAAAATGAAATTGTAAATGGATTTAATCAATATTTTGTGAACGTTGGATCAAGCCTTGCAGCTAAAATACCAAAAGTAGACAATAATGTGAAACATTCAGTTATAGGTTGTGACAACAGTATTTTTCTTAATGGAACTGACAAAGAAGAAATAATGAATGTTGTAAAAAATCTTACAGATAAGAGATCAAAAGACTGGGTGGACATGGATATGATGTTTGTAAAGGACATAATGAGTTATGTTATCGAGCCGTTTACATATATTTGTAATTTATCATTTTCAAAAGGCATATTTCCAGACAATATGAAAGTAGCTAAGGTAGTTTCTCTCTTTAAAAATGGAGATAAATGTGTGTTCAATAATTATAGACCAATATCCTTATTACCACAGTTCTCAAAAATTCTAGAAAAACTATTTGTGACCAGATTAGATAAATTTATTACTAAACAAATTCTAAGTAGCAGTCAGTATGGGTTTAGAGCAAAAAACTCTACATCAATGGCTCTCATGGAATTAATAGAACAAATAACTACTGCTGTCGATCAAAAACAGTATTGTGTTAGTATTTTTGTTGATTTAAAAAAAGCATTCGATACTATTGACCACACTATTCTCCTTGAAAAATTAAATAAATATGGTATAAGAGGACCAGCATTACACTGGGTATCTAGCTATTTAAAAGATAGGAAACAGTTTGTACAAATAAATGGTGTAAGAT